CTATTTATCTAGCTAGTATGGGGCTTCCTCAAGGTATCTCGACCCCAGGGTGGTCAGATTTCTTCCATGGCAGCTAACTCCCAAGAGACAGGAAGCAGAAACTCCCTGGTTTTCTGGGTCTGTCATAACATCACTTCTGACACATTCTTTTGGCTAAAAATTAAAAACAAAAATAACAAAGCCAGCTTACTTTTAAGGAAGGCGGGGATTGAGACTGACTTTTGACCTAAGTAATGGCATCAGTGTACAGTGAGGGAAAGAGCTAATGAAGCTATCCTTGGAGACTATCTACTACAATGATCATAAACCATGCAAAAACCAACTTCCTATGTTTGCCAAAATAAATTTTTATGAATTAACTTACTTGGAGTTATCACACTGAGAAAGATTTTTTGAAATACAGTTGACTTTCTTACAAACTGTTGATGATAGATGCAATTAAAACAAACTTTCTGGAGAAGAGTTTGACAATAATTGTTATTATTATTTTTTTAATAGCCGAGCGCAGTGGTGCATATCTGTAATCCTAGTGGCTTGGTAGGCTAAGGCAGAAAGATCATGTGTTCAAAGCCAGCCTCRGCAAAAAGCAAGGTGCTAAGCAACTCAGTGAGACCTGATCTCTAAATAAAATACAAAATAGGGCTGAGGATGTGGCTCAGTGGTCAAGTGCCCCTGAGTTCAATCAATCCATGGTATCCCCCCACCTCAAAAATTTAAATATATTTATATGCTTTGACTAGAAATTTATACAAAGAAACGTCAAATACCAATCCATTCATGTTTTAGGTTTATGTATTTCTAATAATGCTTGGATGTATTTTCAAGATCTACCACYGAAGAATTGCCAAATTTGTACTTCTAAATATAGTAGTTTTTACATGTGAATGTTTAAATTTAATTGAGACTTAATCAAAATTAGTTAAAGCTAAGAATTTGGTTTTTAAGTAAYACTGACCACATTTCAGTATTTACTATCCACGTATGGCTAGTAGTTCCCTTTTTGACTACAGAGTACTATAGAGCAATTCCAGCATCACAGAATATTTTCTGGAAGAGCATTGGTCAAACAATCAGTATTAGAGACATCCAGGACTTTTTTTGAACTAGAGTTGTAGGAACCCAACCAAGATTCTAGTTCCAGGTCTGAAGTGTGAGACGTGGAGATTTGAATTTGTAACAAACTATACATACATGCACAATAAAATTTGAAGTGGTGTATTTCATACCAATGTTAATAATATAGACTTTAATTTGACTTGAGCATAAGTAAATGAAAAAAAACAACTCCAGAAAGATGAGATTGATTAATTCAGTCACACATTATTTAGTAAAACAATGGCTACAAATTTATGAGCAGAGAAATGGYATGTTCAGAAATGGGAAAATCAATTTGCCTATACGTGTAAGGTTGGACTGGTGTGGGAGAAATTGGAGGTGGGTAGGATAATTAGGAATCTATTAGTATGTKGTTCAGCAAAGGGAAAGTGAGATTTTGAACCAATCAGGACAATAGCAATGGGAGTCAGTGGTAATATGGTCCAGACTCTTTAGAAGCAAAATCTGGAACTTGGAACTGCAATGAAACATGGAGCTTATCAGATGTCTCCATTTCCAGCAACTTCTCAAAAGAGACAGAAGCATAATAATAAAAATTTTAAACATAAGTAAGTACATTTTTTAAAAGGACAGAAAATTATTATACTAAAATATTTGTTTTGATTTTTCTGAAACTAAATTTCAGGGAGACAATTACTATAGTAGCTGACCATGGTTTTCTTAGAAACCTTCCCTAGCTGCTTCCCTAGAAATAATGATTAGCATTATTTCTATGTTGATGAAAAACCCAAATCTGATATTTCATAAACTTTTGCTACCTTTTTATTAAAAGAGAATAATTTAATTGATGAATAATTGGAATGGAACTTACAGAATGAACACTTGCACTTCATTGAATTAAAGCTCTTCATAAAAGTGCATAGCAATTGATATTTAAATAAGGAGAACTATGACAAGTGGATTTTATTTCATAGGTCAAAATTGAGGGAAATATTTAAAATGTTCTCAATCATTAAGTTGTTTGTGATAATAAATATTTTTAAATTGCTGATTTTTTAAAGAACAAAAGTATATAACAGTACATTTGGTTACATAATACTTTAATCTCCTGTTCGAATTTCTTTAAAAGGGTGCTGACATTTAAGTGGTGATAAAATGTTTATTGATTATCTATAATGTGTTGATTTAAGTGACATTTAAGTGTCATTTAAGTGGTGATAAAATGTTTATTGATTATCTATAATGTGTTATAGCAGTTTGTTCAACTATTTCATAGAATGTGACTTGAATCGAATGTCTAACTCTTCTTTACACACACACGCACACATACACAGACACACACATTCTCACATACATATGCATTTTTCACACATATAAATGCTATGAAAGCAGGTAATATGTGATCATCTTTTTGTGGCATAGTAAGAATTATTCATAAAGACTGTTAATGTGGAACACAAAAGAAGTTAGAAACACATTTTCTCTTTTTTATTAGTGGATTATAATTATGCATAATGGATTCATTATGTCATATTTATGCATGCATGTAACATAATTTGATCATCTTATTCCCCAGTACCTTCCCTTTCTCTCCTCTCCTCCCTCTCCCTTATTTGCTTGCTGTATTCTACTGATCTCCCTTTTATTATTTTTATTTTAATTATTGTATGATATATATATATATATATATATAGTATTGTTCACCTTTACTATGCTACTAAAATTTATTTTATTGTATTGTATATGTTCATATATTATATGTGCATCTTATTCTACTCTAAAATTTGTTACATATTCTGCATAGCAGTATCATAAAATTATATTGTGCTTATTTTGTGCCTGACATATTCTGTCTATTTTAAATATACCCTCAATCCTCATATAACCCTAGTGATTGGTACTACTATTATTTCCACTGTATGGGTAGAGAGATGGAGGAACCTAAAGGTAACTTGCTCAAGGTAAAACATCTAATATATGGCAGAGCATGGGTTGAAATCCAGGAAGTCTGGTTCCTGAGAATATCCTCTAAAATGTTATAGTAGCACTATGTATACTGTATGTAAAGAATAACTGTATATGTATGTACATGAATATGGTAACACTGATTACTTTGAAGTCCACATTAGARTCTCTTATTTTTCTTTTCTTATATGTGTGTATGTATATACACATTATATATTATAATGTGTATATACAATCTTATGAAATATATACCCACCTCCAATTTCTCCCACACCAGTCCTACCTTACACAAATTAATAGGCAAATTAATTTTCCCATTTCTGAACATGTCATTTTTCTGCTCATAAATTTGTATCCATTGTTTTACTAAATAATGTGTGACTGAATTAATCATTTAGGATTTTTCATAAGATTGCATATACACATTATATGTATGTATGTGTGTGTGTATATATAAATATATATATATGTATGTGTGTATATATATATATATATATATATATATATATATATATATATATAATCAATCACAGATATACTTTGGATTTTCTTAGAATTGTGAAAAACAATGTACTAAGAGAAAGTTCATGTCACCAGAAGTCTATGTGACAGATTGCCCAAAGGTCTCCCAAGGTAGCATTTCCTTACTGAATTAATGAAGAGCCAGTGCTACTTAGCAAACCTAGACACAATCACACCTTTGGTGAAGAATTGGCATCAAAATCACCTGGGCCTGACCTATGAACTTATGAAGGCCAGTTTATTAGTCTACTAGAACTCTCCTGCCCCCTAACAATGGCAGCTTCTTTGCTGATACCAGCATGTTATTTTTTGAAACCAAGGTAACTCTTCCTATTCAAAGAAGCTGTTTCCTCAAGCCCGGGTGACTTCATATGAGTCCTTGTTCTGATATGTAGCAGGGACAGTTATTTAACTTCTTTGTGCGTCAAGTTCATTAATAGAATTGTGTGAATCATAGTTCCTAGCTTACAGGTTGWGCTGATGACTGAGTGAGCAGATAGGAAGACCAGTGTCTGAAAAAAAAAAAAAAAATTGCAGCACTCACATTGCAGCTGCTAATTATTAATGTTAAACTTTCAGTTCAGACATTTGCAAATTAAAGTCTAGCTTGGTGATTTTGAAGAAACATTTACATTTGACCCAGGTTTCTCAGCACTCCCTGCTCTTTAAGCACATCGTTTATCAAAAAATTAGTTCTCCAAGGAGTTTGCTTTGGTGAAATGACTAAAGCAAAATATCCTAGATTTAGTTCAAGTTAGTATTTTATAGGTTTTTATTGAAATTGTCATTTGGTGAAATGACCTTTTGGTAATTAAGCCATTTTGTGAACTGATTTTCCTAAATGAATCTTGCACAATTTTACTTAGMACTCATGTTTTATGGTTGCAGTGCAGTTTATATTCACTTCTAAGCAAAGATTGATGATATATCAAGATTGCCTTACTATATGTCAAATGCAGATTTTGACTCTAGACGTGTATTTGTCTATTATTAGAYTCAATCCTGTTTGCCAGTGAAAATTTTTATGAAAACTTTCCTACTTCATTTTAAGATTTGYGTTTATAATATTTTATCAAGTCATTTTGTTTTTAATAAAAGCTTATATTTCTCTTTATGTCATATTTTATGGTTGACATTTTTAGGAGGTATTTGCTGAAAAAAATCATTCTTTAACTCCTCAGGCAATTTTCCAAACTACATTCTCCCTAAACATTATTTTGTCTTTAAAATATGCATGTGCATACATATATTGTTTGAATATTCACCAAATATTCAAATTGCTTGAAAAAAGAAATCAGTTCATTGTTATTTCAATCATCTATTAGCATGAATGTATTTACTGAGTTCTGTAAAAGCTTATTACTGGATAACCTCTAACTGACCATGTAGATAAAATGGTCATTGTTTGAATGTAGTATATTTTATGACACTTGATGTTATTTTAAAACCATTTTCAGGATGAAAGTTCAATAGAAAGTGATGAATTTGACATGAGTGACTCAACACGGATGTCAGCTGTGAATTCTGATCTTAGCTCCAATCTTGAGGAAAGAATGCAAAGTCCCCAGACTCTTCATGGCCAGCAAGATGGTAAGCCTTTCAAATTGAAAAAACAAATAAAACAACAAAAACCAACAGTGAGTCAGAATCTATTAAAACRATAATCCCCTCATAACTCTTGAGTCCATTTTTTAAAAAATTGGTTTCCATGGGGACGTTTTTCTCTATACTCAGGTTATGTCATCCACTCTATTATTTTTAGATTTAAGTACTTGTTCAAACCTAAAGTGTTAGACTGATTTATAAAAATATATCAGTTCTAAAATCTAAGCATACCATTGTCTTGCTCCCTGAATTTAAAATGTCTTTTGTTGTTGCAATTTGGGTTTCTATAATATTTTCCAGCTTTGGATTCTTAGAACACCATTTTCTGACTGAATTAAWAGTTTAAAATGATTAAAAGCTTCATTTGGGTGTTTTTCACTTACCTAAAAGACCAGTTGCAATTAAAAACACTGAATGTTAAAGTACAATTTTATCAGAATCATTTTTCTCARTAAGAAGATATTTTGCTATCATTTGAGCTAACTTAATGCAAAGGAAAGGAAAGAAAATATTGTGAACTCCTATTTCTGAGTCTGTTGAAGATGCTTAAACCATCCTRCTATTCTTACTATGAAGAAAACTGAATAATGTAGCAAAGTTGAGATGATATTTAATGCTTTAGGCCTGAAAGTTTTAAGATCTCTGACAACTATTATTGTAGATTTTTTTCTTTGGAAGTATTAGCTTATATATGGAAGTAAATGTACATTATTTGGGTAATCATGGATGAAAAAACCAAAGGTGATAAATAGAATGAAATTGACCAATTTTGTTCAAAATTAGTTTATTATTTCTATAATTAGCAAGTTTATATGAACTTTYTGACTGCTTAGTTTTGTGCCTACAGTTAGGGGGATGAACCTTTACTTGTTTTCTTTGAAATTTTATTWAAAAATGCAAAAGATAGCTGTATTTCTGGCTGCTTTTTAAATTCTGTCTATGTTGGCAAAGCTTAATATTTCTCCAGATTTAAGGATACAAAAAAGGAGGACTTTCATTTTTCTCATTTTAAATGATACTAAACAATATTGATGTCTTGTTGGTGTGAGATATGAGAAAAGAAGAACATTGATTATCAGTGACTTTAAAATCATGGGTTGTTTTGCTGAACAGTATAATAGCTATTGCAGAATGAAGTTCTTCTGGTTTAGATAAAAATTATCTCTTTTTTTTCTTAAAAACATGAGTACACATTCCTTGGAATTTTTATTCCCCCAACACTGGGGGCTGAACTCAGGGACACTTTACCACTGAGTTACACCCCAAGTCCTTTTTATTTTATTTTATTTTTTTATTTTGAGACAGGGTCTTGCTAAATTGCTTAAGGCCTTGCTGAATTGCTGAGGCTGGCCTCAAACTGTGAGTCCCTGGGATTACTGCCACACTCAGCAGGGTGAAAAAAATATCCCTGATTCAGGAGAAAGAAACAAAATTGCAAGCGAAAACTCAATGAAAAGTGGGAAAAACATCTAATATGTAAGGAAAAGGTCAGGCCTAGACTGGAGAATAAAAAAGTARATATGTTTGTTTCTTGGAGTTTTCTTTAATGATGATTAAATCATAGAATAACTAAAATATTAATATATATCACTCTATTCAAATATTTTTATGTGTTTCACTTATTTATATTCTCATCATTTTTTGTCTATTATTTTCAGAATTTACATATATGTCTCCCACCACCAAAACTCATTGTTTTCTTGATTGGAATTGCCAGTCATGGACCTTCGGCTTGTGCACAACTGGTGTGATCAATTTTTGTATTGATTTTAATAAGATGCAGTGGAATAACTTCAGAATTACCCTTAGGGGAAAGCACCTTGTCATGATACACTGATGTATGCTTTCAGATAAGAACATATCTGGTTGTTTCTTCTCCAGTCTAGGCCTGATCTTTTCCTTACATATTGGATGTTTTTCCTCCTTTTCATTGAGTTTTCACTTGCAATTGTTTCTTTCTCCTGAATCAGGGATTTTTTTTCATCCTGCTAGTTTATTAAAATATGTGCACAAACATGACTTCCTAAAAAACCTTCAAGGATACTGTCTTTGTCTGTGCTGCTGAAACAAAAYACCTGACACTGGGCAATTCTTAAAGAAGAGAAATTTATTTCTCCCAGTACTRGAAACTGAAAGTCCAAGACACTGGCAGGTTGAGTCTGGAGAGAGCTCAGTCTTCACCTGCAGTGTGGCAGCTTGCTCTTGACTCCTCCAGAGCTTGAGGTATCTGTGTCCTCACAGGGTGGAAAATGGGGTGGGGCAAGAGGGGTAGGCAAGAAAGGTACATTCCTTCTAACAAGTCTTTTTTGTAAGAGTACCTAATCCCACTCCCACTCATAAACATGGAACACTCATGACCCAATCAACTTCCAAAGGCCACACCTCTTAAAACGGTTGAATTGGGGACAGTTTCAACATGAACTTGAAAACTAAAAATCATTAAAACCATGGCCCACCCCATTGTGCTGCTTCATTTATTGCCTCTGTCACCTATAGCACCCCCACAATATACTTTACAGGGAAACTCACTGTCTTTCATCTCACCTCCTCATCTCTACTCTTTTGGGCTCATCTCAGTAGTGTTCATCTCAGGTAGATGTTCATCCTTGCCAACCCTCTTCATGGTTCTCAAGAGGACCATCGGCAGAYTTTGTGTTGCTAATTCATGGGTTGACCCTTGGTTCTCATCTCCCCTAGCACTGATATTTAAGGGAAAATCTCCCCTTTGATTCCTCATGGGCTTGCTTTCTCAGTCATCTCCTTGAGCTGCTTTTCTATATCTTAGTCTGTGGATGCCAGAGTGCACTCCTTAACTCTCTCCCTACCTTCTCTGCCTAGGCGGTCAAGTCTAATCTTGTCACTTTCAATAATATCCACTGAATCAAAAMTTCAGTTCCCTAAATCCCTACATCTTCTCAGCACTCAAGACTGTGTCTATCAACCTATTTCCTAATTGCCAGAATTTTTCAGAGGATTTACTACTATATGAAACCGTTTATTTCTGACTGATGAGTTGTTTCTCTTCGAGACTGCAAATCTGTTAATTAATGGGTCTTCTCATGCTTTTCCTTTCATCTGCTCCATTTCAGAYAGTTCTTAAATGCTCTGTTATTTAAATGATTCAAATATAACTTTCAACCTTAATCATGATTTGTAACTGTTTTGCATATTTTTTTCTTTTCTTTCTTTCCTATAACAATGGCACTCCCWTAAGTAACTCATATTGCCAAACTACTGTGTAATCCTTATTTTCCCTGTATACATACACACACACTGAGTCACATATGTACATACTCAGATGATTTTTGTCATCATTGTTTTATGAGAGTAACTCAATTTTCTTGCTTTGTTCTCCCTATGTTTTCTCTAAGAGTTAAGAGATATATCTCTCTCAACTCTTAGAGAAAGGAAAAAAAATAAAAATAGAAAAGACACAGACTTTGCCCTCATGTAGCACATAATCTAAAGGAATAAAAATCGTTAATCTAACCAGTTTGAGAAAGTTTCTTCTTCTGGAAAATTATGAATTTATAGTAATGAAGCTTTCAGTATATTTTTCAGATTAGTGGGGAGTTTGGRTGCTAGGCCTCAGTTGGCAAGAGTKTATTGCTTTGTTGAGGACAGTGTGCATTAATTTTTTGGGGGAGCAATCAAAAGGCATAGACTTATGGTGACCAAATTTTTAATAAACATGGCAAAATTGGCCTCAAGCTAGAGTATAGTGTGGGTCCAGGTTTCTCAACCTTGGCACAATGGACTCATGACTCTTTGTCTGGGGTGGGGGAATTTTTCTGTTCATTATAGGATGTTTACCAGAATCATAGCCTATATCAAGGCATGATAGAAGCTCCTTCCCCCCAGCTGTGGCAACTACAGTACCTTCAGATACTGTGAATGTCCCCTGGTGGGTCAGATTGAAGAACAACTGGCAAGGCAGGAAAAGGCAGTTAGTAAGAAGTCAGAAGATGGAAATGGAAGAGAAACAATGAAGAGAAGTTTAAAAGTAAACATTGGAGAAAAGTCTARTAATGCCCAATAGACTTTTGCAAAGATAGATAAGTCCCATGACTGAATTGTCCAATGAATGGGTGTCACTATCCAAGTTGTGACTAATGAGTCCTTAAAATATGGTTAGCAAGACTCAGGAACTATTTAAAGTTACATCGTTTACATTAATATTAATGTGATTTTAAGTACCCACCCGTGACGGTAGCTACTCTATCAGACAGGGTAGATCTTGAGTGTTATTTTATTTTCACTGGTAGTTAAATGTCTTTCTCTGCAACCATAACACATATATTTAAGTCCAAATTTGGGGGTAAATTAAAGGAGAAACTCCATTTTAATAATTGGCTGAAACTGCAGTTTGAACAATACAAAATTTTAAGGGTTAAATTAAAATGTTCTATTTTCTTTAAAATTAAGTGATTTTATTTTAAAAAATATATTGAAGCAGGATATCGTGAGTTTTAAAAATTCTCCCTAATAATTATAACATAAGCAGGTTAGTGATGTCTTTATACTGGGTACTATATAAAGTGGAAAGTTAAATTTTTTTTYAGTTTTTGTTTCACTGTAGTTATTAAGCATATGCATTCTATTCATGAAATGCCAAAGGAGAGATATATATGATATATATGCTATGTGTTTACAGAAAAAAAAAATCAAGAAAATGCCTTGCCCCAAGTTGGATAATAGATAAATTTAAAAAAAAGATATAAAGGATGAAAGATTGGTATTGAGAATAATAGTTCAATATTTAGCTCCTTTTACTTATTTGAAGTTCATATGGCTTTCCCAACTCAATAAGAAATAATGATAAGAAAAAAAAGACACAGAAACTCCAATATATGCACAGAAAGTATTTTACTCTCATCTTTGATTTAGAGGAATATATGTGAAACTATTTTAAAATTTTAATAGGATTTTAAAATAATATCTGTAGGTTAGAATCATTCAAAGGTGCTATCTACATTTGATTTACT